CAAATTCCTCTAACGTGTAAACCTACATGGGAATAAACCTGTTTCTGATTCTGATCACTTTTAGTGGTTTGTGCAACTTCTAGATAAATGCAACAGCGTTTTCCCACTTACCCAAACCGGAACAGAGTAGCAACAGTTGGAAAAACTGTCACATCAGCCAGAGAGAAGGAAGGTCCTGCCAGGTTAGAGGCCGAGCACAGCTAGAAAGAGAGAGGTGACAGATAGCATGTTTCAACGAGACTATGCATGTTTTATTTCGTTTGTTGGTGTGTGTACTGTGCACACTCTACCTTCTGCAGGTAGCCCTCCCAGAGCTGGAGTTCAGCGGTCAGAGCTTCCTTGTTTCTCTTCAGAGCCGAGTCATGCCTCTCTTCTTCAGGGACAAACCAGGTGTAGTAGATAACTGCGTCTAGAAAAAAAGAAAACACATACATATTAAAGGAAAAGAGCTTTTCTGGGTGTATGAGTTTATTTCCCTTGAGTATTGCAAAAAGTGTAGCATTTGCAAATACCAAAAATGTATTGTTTCAAAGATAAAGTTCTTATTGTCAATATATCCAATCAACATTATAGTTGTTGTTTTTTTTAGTTTGCTGGGCAAAACATTTTTAACAAACTTTACTCAAATAAGTGTTAGAAGAAGAATTTGTGTCCATTGTTTAATACACATTTGTTGCAGGGAGTATTCTCAGCATGGAGAAGTACACGGGCCTCAAAATAAACTATGTGCCCATGTTCATCCTAACAATTAAACGTCTTTTATTTGGATTTTCTGACAAATAAAAAATAGGCTAGATAATACAACTAATCTTACTTTGTTAAATCTGCCAGAAACTATTATCGTTGCTTGTATTGAAAGGGTATTTAAAGGGATTAAATGTGGGTCTTACTAAGTTTTTCGTAGAATGTGAGACCCTCAAACATGCGCTGGTACATCAGAGCTTGTTCTGCAGCGCCGTCTGGGATCAGTTTGGTTCCCTGAGACTTAAACTGACTCTGCCATTCAGAGAGAAAAGACACATCGTCGATGCCACACATCATAATGTTGGAATTAGTGTGTATTGCATGCCTTTGCTATTTGTATAATGTCCTCTTTAATTGATATTTTATAGTTGTGCACAGGATCTCTCACCTCCAGGTAAAAACAAGCTGCATAGGATTCATTCACGTTGTTGTCTCCATGTTTGAAAGATGGAAGCTTTAAAAAACAAAACAGGTCATAATGTGAGCAACACAGATGATTTAAGAGATGAAGATAGCCTAATCATCATCCACCCTGTTTTAATGATACAGCCACAGGGAGCTAATTAAGACAACCTGCTGAGCTCTTGGGGAACAACTGCTGCATACGCTCAGGTTTTAACAAAACATGTTGGTTAGGTTAGCTGACTTTATTACAGTATGTGACCTGTTTTTAATGCAAGTGCCTTTGATCATGTCTTTTATTCATGTACTGTTCTTCAGTAAAATGTTGAGATCTCCACAACATTTATTTTGTAATAACTTTAATATATTAAAAATAATTAGCTGCACCTTTACCAGCCTTGATAACACTAATGCATCAATAATAATAATAATAATAATAATAAGAACATGTAATTTATATTATTCTGAAATGGACCATCTGTATGATGAGTATTTTTACTTTTGGTACTTTAATTATATTTTGATTCTAATACTTTTGTACTGCTACTTCAGTAACGTTTTGATTGCAGGACGTACTGGGTTACTTGTAACATTATTTAGTATTCCTACACTCTGGTGCTTCTACTTTTACTCAAATAAAATATTTGAGAGTACTTAAGTTCTTCCACCTCAAATTACTGGTGATGAACTTGAGTTGCTTCTACTGAAGTGGCATAGCTCAGAGGAACGGTTAACTCCAAACTACCTTCATTAAAAAAATCAATTAAATCTTATCTTATTTTGCCGGTAAATAAATACCACATAAACAAATACTTAAGACTTCAAGTGACACATAAAGGCGTTATGATAATGTCGGCGTGCAGGTAGCAGACATATATCTGTTTTAGGTTGGTCTTTACTGCCCTCTATGGTCAAAGATGTGAAAGGCACTTAGTAGGCAAAATAAACCGTAACGTTACAATGATCCAGATACAAAAGCTTTTAGTACATTTAATATACGCCGAATTAAAAAGTACATCCTCACTATTGTTCTTAGTCATTCAGTTGAGTTTCAGTAAGAATATATTGTTGCTGGTACATAGAAACACATTAAATAGGTATGTTTTTTTTTAATGGAGTTTGGCTGGAGGTTGTCTATCAGGGATTAGGAAAATGGAGGAAGTGTAGCTAGCGTTTGCAATGGCTACAAGCGGTTACCGATAGTATGCGTTATTTTGGGTGAGGGAAATGAAAATAGGGTAGTGTTAGTCTTATCTAATTGTATATTTTGCAGGTTACAATGGATTTAGGCTACTCCATACCTGTCCCCTGGCATTTATATCTAACACTTCTTGGGACTTGTGCTCCATTTTCTCAAAGGAGAGCAGTTTGTTGTTGTATCCCTGCAGGTTCTTCTCCTCCAGAGCGATCATCACCCTCCAGCAGGGCGGAGAGCCGGAGCCCCACAGTAGGGTCATGTTCTCGGCCATGATGTCAGCTTTCAGTCCTTCTGTTGCTACTGAAGAGAGACCACCAGATAAATGCACACAAAAAAACGGAATTTATGTTTTACTCTTTAGAGAGTTAATGGGGACTCAAGCTATAATATAAGCTCACGTTGCCACCTGCTGGTGAGGAGGAAGTATTACAACATATAGATAGAGTTACAGAATGATACAGATACTTTTGTACTTTTACTTCAGTAATGCAGAATGCAGGACAGTATTTTTTAGAAATATGACTATTTCTTCAACCACTGAAGATACTGTATCTGTGGAACGCTTGAGTTGAAATATAGAGTGTTGAAAAGGTTAGCTCCGAATTAATGTTATTTATTGAGGTCCATGATGTGATGAAGATGTGAAGGAAGCCTTATCAGAGTGAGAAAGGGATGTCATTTAGGATGTTGCCCATATATGGTAATTTAGAATGTTGGCCATGGTCATTTAGAATGTGCTTTGGAGTGTTGGCATTCTGGAATGCTGGAATGTTGGGACAGACTATAAGTTCTAGGCTGATCAGTCTCCCCTTAATTTGGATAGGGGAGGCCAAGGAGGGTAGGAGTGGGATCACTTTGAGAGTTTTTTTAGATAAGATGAGGATTTTTAATTATGAAGGAAACTAACAGGTTTGATATGACACAGCAGTGGAGTATTTGCAAGATAGTGCTACATTTGGGAGGGATTTAAATGACATGGGGA